TACTCTACTCTACTCTACTCTACTCTACTCTACTCTACTCTACTCTACTCTACTCTACTCTACTCTACTCTACTCTACTCTACTCTACTCTATATAAGGAGAAATTTCCTGACAGTGAGAATAATTAATCAGTGGAACCACTTGCCTCCAGAAATTGTGAATGCTCCAACACTGGAAGTTTTTAAGAAGATGTTGGATAACCATTTGTCTGAAGTGGTGGAGGCTTTCCTGCCTAAGCAGGGGGTTGGACTAGAAGACCTCCAAGGTCCCTTCCAACTCTGTCATTCTTCCTCTTATCTTCTCAGAGTTAATCAATCCAGGGGCTTTGATCTCTCTTCATAGGACATACTTCCCTATCATCTTCAGTGAAATTATTTGAATCTTTTTGAAGCCTTCTCTAAGTACACGCAGTCCTCAACTTAGCAACGGTTCATTTAGTGGCCGTTCAAAGTTACAACAGCACTGAAAAAAGTGACTTAGGACTCTTTTTCATGGTTACATCTTTTGTAGCATCCCCATGATCATGTGGTCAGAATTCTGACGCTTGGCCACCGGTTCATACTTACGACCGTTGCTGTGTCCTGAGGTCACGTGATCCCCTTTTGTGACCTTCTGACAAGCAAAATCCCACGGGGAAGCCAGATTCACTTAACAACCAGGTTGTTAACTTATCAACTGCAGTGATTCACTGAACAACCGTGGCAAAAAAAAGCTCATTTGATGGGGCAAAACTCACCTAACAGATGTTCCGCTGAACAACAGAAATTTGGGGCTTAGTTTTGGTTGTAAGTTGAGAATTTCCTGTATAGTGCCCAAAATTGAGGTAACGTAAGAGCAGTAAACTGGAGCAGTGACTACATGTGATTTATTGATGTAATCCTAAACTACATTTTGCAACCACATATCACACTAATGTTTCATATTCCTATGTCCCATGTGTTTAGTTTCTGTTTCCTAACTAAAGAAACGTATACTTGTCTCAGTTAAATCTTGTTCTTCGGACCATTTCCTTAATCTATCAAGGTGGTGCAGTGGTTAAATGCAGCACTGCAGGCTACTTCAGCTGACTGCAGTTCTGCAGTTTGGCTGTTCAAATCTCACCGGCTCAGGGCTGACTCAGCCTNTCTTCATCTTCTTCTTCTTCATCATCATCATCTCCTCCTCCTCCTCCTCCTGATTATATTATGTAGTTGGGTCATGAAATTTCTGCTAGAAAACAACCAAGGTCAGAACGCACCCAGGACCACACAGTCATCCTCTTCCTCCTCTTCCTCCTCCCCTCACTGATGGTGTTATGTAGTTGGGTCATGAAACATCTGACCACCAATTTCAGGCTGGGGTAGGGCCAAAAACGGGCCTATGGGAAGTTTGGGAAGGCCGGAAGTGGGCCTGTTTGTGGCTTCCAGAAAGCCTCCAGAGCCCGGAGGTTGGGAAAAAAGCCCCACCCACTGTGGTGCAAGAGGCCGACTAGGCCACACCCACCATGGCCACGCCCACCCAGAAACCGGGCAGAGAACCCCTTGCTAAATTTTTTGAAGCCCACCCCGGGGTTGACACCAGGCCGCCGAGGATTGTGTCTTAATTTCTTTCCCCTCCCTGAACGCCTTGTGACAAATGTTCGCAAATGGTGCAGAGATTCCAGCGCTCAGTCGTTTAATCATAAATCATAATAGTGACGAGGGAAATCTCTTCTTTCACCCTTCCAGTTCAGGCTGTTGAATAAAAGAAAGCCTGAAGGGAAATTGGAGTAGAACGGGGTGTGAGCATGGCTGCCAACAGTGAAAACAAATTCCCAGGCTGAGGACGTGCTAAGAAAACAACGTTGTATTCGTTTTTCAGGAAGGATTGCTCTGACGGAGCCATCACTTCCCAGCACCTATCAAAGTAGCCTATCAGAGAGAGGGATTAGGGGGTGGGAGGGATCGTAGCCAACTCCCGGTACTTGAGGGGCTGCCTCAAAGAAGAAGGGGTCCAACTACTCTCCAAAGCACCTGAGGGCAGGACAAGACCTAATGGGTAGAAGATCATTAAAGAGAGAAGCAACCTAGAACTAAGGAGGAACTTCCAAACAGTGAGGACAATTAACCAGTGGAACGACTTGCCTCTGGATGTTATGGGTGCTTCATCACTGGAGGTTTTGAAGAAGAGATTGGACAGCCATTGGTCTGGAATAGCAGAGGGTTTCCTGCTTTCCTATTACCTATTCCTATTCCAATTCCATTCCTATTTCATTCCATTCCTATTCTATTCCTATTCCTATTCCTATTCCTATTCCTATTCCTATTCCTATTCCTATTCC